GGCCTGTGTGCTGGAATGACCCTCGGGCGTGGTACTAACCTGTGACCGTGTGTGTTTTGGGGGTGTAGCAGGTAGTGTAGGAAAGGAGAGGCCCACCGAGGTAGCAAAAAAAGACAAAGGTAGTACCTTTGGGTAGGCCTAGTTATAGCCTTAAAGGCCTAGTAGACTGAGAGATAGGTATCGGCCCAGTGAGGCCTGAGTCTAGAGCCTTCGAAAGGAAGGTATAAGGCTGCAATGATGTACCTGCTGAAACGGGCAGGGGAACTGGTAGGCCAAGAGGCTGAGTAGCTGGAAAGTCATGTGAGGGAGTTCAGCTGTCGGTATATGAAGAATGGCGGTGATGGACTCAGCCCCATTCTCTAAGTAGCAAGTCGTGAGGCTGCTCGTGCGCTCACCAGTCTGGTGAGCGCTGAGTGAAGGAAGAAAGCGGACCATGGCTCCCACCTCGGTTATGGTGGAGAAGACCAAAGTGGAGGTGGAGGAAGACACGGCTATAGAGGAGTAGTGAGGAAGAAGGAGGAAGAATGAAGGAGGAGGAGAAAGAAGGATTCTTCTTTCTCCTCCTCCTTCATTCTTCCTCCTTCTTCCTCACTACTCCTCTATAGAGGGAGTTCAGCTGTCGGTATATGAAGAACGGCGGTGATGGACTCAGCCCCATTCTCTAAGTAGCAAGTCGTGAGGCTGCTCGTGCGCTCACCAGTCTGGTGAGCGCTGAGTGAACTAAGAAAGCAGACCATGGCTCCCACCTCGGTTATGGTGGAGAAGACCAAGTTGGAGGTGGAGGAAGACATGGCTATAGAGGAGTAGTGAGGAAGAAGGAGGAAGAATGAAGGAGGAGGAGAAAGAAGGATTCAGACGAAGTCGGAGGAAGAAGAAGAAGGAGGAGAGTGAAGGAAGGAACTTACCTTGGCTATGGTGGACTGCATCTTCATCTTCTTGGTTGACGCTGCACCTGGACGGCCCTTCGCTAGGGTTATACTTTAAGGGAAAACTCATGGGGTGAAACATGGCATGGTGGCCATAGCGGGAGAGGCATAGTAGCCTTGCATCATCCTTTGAACATCGGAGCTGGGCTCCGATGGTCCGCCATAGCCACCAGCTTGACT